AATTTAAGCAACAAAGAGGCTTAGAGGGAGTGGCCCTTAGGCAATGGGCTTTTAGACAGGACAATTAGAACAAAATCCAATAAAATCAGATGTCTAAAAAGTTAACCTGGTTGACACCTAAGCACTTATTAGAGTCATTTTTGTGGACTTGATTGTAAATGCCCCAGAAGGATCAGGACTGTAATGACAAAAACTAAGAACTGTGATTAAAATTTTGATGGACAATTTAGCAACTAATAGAACAGTATATCCATACCATTAACTTTTGTTACCATGTTTATCTAAATTTTGTATTTTAGAAGGCTTGATATACCTTGAAGAACATATATATATATATATATATATATACTAAATATATATATTTAGTATAAGGAACCAGCAATAGCATCATAGTTCTGTAGAGGTTATATATACATCTTAGTTTAGTTGTTCTTGAAGTAAAACCTTAGATTTTTATCAGTTGTGAAGGGGGCAACAGTTTTAGTAAACCCAGATAGTCACAGACACATACAGGGTACCGACTATATTAGAATCACTCAAGACAACAGTTGTTTAACCATGAGGTAATCTAGAAAATTTTACATAAGCTGTTAGGAAATAAGAGGCCTGGAAGAGGCAGAGAGATGGCTCAAACACCAGTACAGGGTTTATTGTTTAGGCAGGAACTCTGTGAAGGGGGACCCCAGCAAAAGAGCTAGAGCCCATTGCTATACACAGGCTTGGGCTAGATATAGGGGGCTAGTGGAAGAGTATCAGGAAGGTCACTAAGGGATATTGTTGCTGGGCAGCCAAGAAAGGTAAGTTGTAGTTAGGTCACTGTCTGCCCAACTGTCCCTGGCATCTGTCTGGGGAGATAAGGGTTAACAGTTGTCTCTTTGTCAGTCTTTGGGGTTGACTGGGGAGTTTCTAGTAAGCCATCTGCAAGCGGGGAGGAGGTCTAGTCCTAACATGGCTGTCCTCATTGTTAACCCCAACATAAACCAACTCTTAAATCAACATGATTCAGTTATCTTAGTAGTTAAAAACCTGGACAAAATTACCAGAGAACACAGGTAAATTTTTTTTCTTTTTTTTTACTCATATGTGCATACAATGTTTGGGTCATTTCTCTGAGCCCCATCCCCCCAGGTAAATATTTATGGGGACTAAGCGTGGAGTTAGGAAACCTAATGACCAGAATCATGGCTCAGATGTTGATAAGGGATGACATCCCAGATTGTTGATATTAACAGATAGCTCATAACATTCAGCAGGATCTCCTCAACCTATAGTCAGTGGAGCCCCCCCACTAAATAATAGGTCTAATTTGGCCATCTCAGGCCAAAAGTTCCCTCTGCCTGACATGTGGAAGGAGTAGGACTAACATCTCCACTCTGTTGACTCCAATAAAAACTGGAGGTCTTGACTTTCAGTGTCGTGCTCCTTTTTGAGTTTTAATTTTTATCCTTTCTGGAGGGTGCATTTTGGCCCCCTTTTTTTTTTAACTTTGCTTTATATAAGTAAATTTGGCTCAATCCTCCTATCAGTGCAGCAGTACTCTCTGTGCTCAGCTGCCTCTTGCCTCTCTGTGTTTTAATAAACTCTTGTTGTCTTGACAAATTTGTGGATTAACCTGTAGCACCAAAAATTTCATTTTGACAAAACAAAAGCCATTTTTAAGACAGTTTTTGTAAATGCTATTAAGAATAATATTGTTAAGAGAGCCTTGTTGTTATGAGGTTAGAGAATAAAGTTTTAGTTTAACATCAGTACATTAAATTTTGACCTTACAAAACCTTTAATGTAACTAGATTTTAGTCAACTCAGTCACTTATGTAAGCATTTATAAGCTCTATCCTTCTATGACAACTTACTCTGCACTTTTATGACAACTTATTTTGTATCCCCTTAGGTAGCTTGTCTTTATCTTTTTTTTTTTAAAGTATTTTTTATCCTTTTATTTTAAAAACCATGTCTTTTAATATCATATCTATATGATATCTACATGTTACTTCTTGAAATTAACTTATAAAACCTTTTAACTTAGAACCTTGTATTTGTATGGAAAAAAACAGAAAGAAAGCAACCTTAAAATTATTTTTTGTGTAAAAACAACTTATAGAAAGCCCATTTGTTAATAGACCCATGTATTATAAGAGCAGATTAAATCCCACATTTTATTTATGGCAGAATGTAACAGGCTAAGTTCATTTTTAACTACCCAAATTTTAAGATTTCTGTTTCAAAGTGTAGCCTCCCTTTTTTTTTCTCCTCTGGTCTGAGCCAGAGTGTTAACCCCTGAATGCCTGCATCCTAGTGAGTTCTGATTGAAATAAGTTTGAAAACCTGTTTTCTTAAAAGTTGCAGTAGAACAGAGTAATAAAATTTTTTTTACATTTACTTTATTATAAGAACCATCCTCAAGATGTTTACATATTTAAATGTAAAAAGCTTAAGTAGTTTGTAACAGAGATCTTTAAAACAAACACCCTGTTTGGTGGAATGGTGGATGATGGACTCTTGGGAGTCTCCCCCCTCTGGAACTGAATTTTTTTTTATCCATCCCCTAACCTCAGTTGGACTATTTCCTGGGAAAAGCTCAAACCCCCGTTAACTCTCAGAGGTGTCTTATGTACTTTTGTATAGCACAGTACTTCCGCTCCACTCCCTAAACCTGAGACACACGGCTTCACCCCAAAAGGCGGTTACTAGCAGTCTCTGGGAGGTGACCAGTCTCCTCTTCTGCCTTCTGAGGCAGGCCTGAATTTGAACCCAGGTTCTTACCAGTCTGATGAGCGGTGCTCTGAAGTTGGTTCCTGCACCTCACCGGGCTCCATTGTGCATCCGAGGCCCTCATCCCAACTCACTGGGAGGACAAATCCTCTTACGGATCAAGCTGTCTGTTGGCACCTGGTGGGATCTCCTCCTGGCGGTCTAGGGGACATACCCCAGTGACAAGAGAGGTGATAACTTGCTGTCTCTGCAATCCTGGCAAACGAGCCCCCAAGAAATGTTGCGGGAAATTACCAGCTGAGATATGGGACATTGAGGCAGATTAGAGGAAGCAACATTTTATTGTGCCAGCACAGACCCAGCAGACTCGTGTCCAAAGGCTGAGCCCCGAGAACAAAGAGGTATCACCTTATATACCCTTGCAAGCAAGTTACAGAAGCAAAAAGCAAAGCTGAACCCACATATAGCTGTGTGTGATTTTATTGGCTATTTCATTTTCCCAGTGCTATGTGACCTTCATATTTAAATTTTTTCAGTTTTATCTCTCTGCTTTGCTGTCTCCTCCCCTGTCTCGTGGTCAGAACACAGTCTGTATGTTTTTTTCCTGCCCTCCCCCTTCCTGCTACAGTGGGACTTGAACTCAGGGCCTACACCTTGAGCCACTCTACCAGCCCTTTTTTGTGATGGTTTTTTTCAAGATAGGATCCTCCTGATCTCTGCCTTCTGAGTAGCTAGGATTACAGGTGTGAGCTGCTGGTGCCCAGCCAGGAGTTTAAATTTTTTAAGCTATAAAAGTAATATGTTTATTAAAGAGTTGGAAAAGCTCTGAAAGATAAAACTCAACTAGACTCATACCCAGAAAGGCAGTGACTAGAACATTAACATATTTCTGTGATTTCTGTGTAATTTAGTTTTCTTATTTTTTGCATTTAGAATAATATATAAACTTTTAAAATTTATTTTATTTGGAGCATTACTCTCTTGGTGTTACTGAGGTTTGAACTAAGAAGTAACATTACTTTTTATCTGTTATAATTCTATAAATATATGCATTTTTGGTGCTCACATAATACACTGTTGTGTGATCCTACCAAAGCTTAACTACTCTCCATCTTTTCTTAGGTTTACTTTATGCTTTTATAAATAATGCCAAGTTTTTGTTCCTAGAGCTTTTCATCTATTTCAAATCATTGCGTTAATATAGATGTTAAAGTCTTGATAAAATATGCCAAAAAGTTGTTTTTGAAAACCACAATCTTAAGGGCTGGAGATGGTAGCTCAGTGTTAGAGTGCTTGTTTAGCATGCATGAGGCCCTGGGTTTGATTCCCAGCACCACAGAAAAGAAAAGAAAATCATAACTCTTATTTTAACAAGAGTGAAGACACAGCTTGTATATAGAACCAGCCTGGAGCAGAGATTCCTAATTCCTGAGCCTGTTTTGTTTTTTTTTCCAAAATAACTTTTGCCTTCTATCTTGGGATTTAAGAAAGAGATTCCTTCCTTACAGTGCTTCCTGCGGCCCTTTTCTAGCTAATAAATATGAAAATCCAAGGCAGTAATGTGCAGTTACTCTACTGTTAGCTGTGCTATATGAACAAGTAGTGCTTATTATAGCATTTTAGCTCCTGCTTTTACAGTTGAAGTAACACAAAACCAAATCCATGTAAAAATGTTTTCCTTACCTAGAATTATTATTATTATTTTTATTTTGCTAGGCTGCCTTTTTAACATTAGTGAGTATTATGTAGTATTGTTTTATTAGATGGGTTGGACTGGACTCCTTTATGTAAGCTTTTCAGTATTTCTACTCCCTTTTCTAGGCTTTTCCTTCCCTTTTTCTCTCCTCCTTAAGTATTGTAGTAAATTGGAACTGGAGTCCATTTGCCACTCCCTACCTTGACACACACGGTGCCCACTCCCTGACCTACCTTCCCCACACTCCATGTCTATACTGCAAGTCCTAATCATTCTCTAAGACTGGCAACCAAGAGCCATCTAGCAACTTTTCCAGCTGGTTCTAACCAGATCAGATGCAGTCCCTGCTGCTTATTCCTTTCCTGAAATCTCACTCACTAAGGTGTGCTAACTTTGCTGAATGTTCTCTGTTTGTTCATAAGTGAGTCTCTACAACCAGACTAAGTACAACTCTAGGATGGCACAGACTAGGTCTGTGTTTCATTATCTTCTATGTCTTTTGCACCACACCTGCCCCTTAGAAGATACTTGTTATTTCTTGATCACTTTCAGTGAAAGTTTAGGTTTAATGTTCTCTGTGGCTTTGTTTTAGGTCTTTCTGTCTGAGTGGAAGGAAAATAAAGTTGCTCTCTTACGGCTGACCAGTCCAGAAATGAAAGATGATTTCCTGCATGGACTGCAGATGCTGAAATCTCTACAAAGCAAACATGTTGTCATGCTGCTTGGCTATTGTGAGGATGACAACACTATCCTTACTGAGTATCACCCCTTAGGTTCTTTGAGCAACCTGGAAGAAACACTAAACCTTTTGAAGTACCAAAATGTGAACACATGGCAGCACAGACTGCAACTGGCCATGGGTTATGTTGGCATCATTAACTACCTGCACCACAGCCCCCTGGGCACATTGGTCATGTGCGATTCTAATGACCTGCCTAAGACATTGTCCCAGTATTTACTCACAAGTAACTTCAGCATTGTGGCAAACGACTTGGATGCCTTACCCCTGGTAAACCACAGATCTAGGACATTTGTGAAGTGTGGACACAGGGAGCTTCATGGGGATTTTGTGGCTCCAGAGCAGTTGTGGCCCTATGGAGAGGCCATACCTTTTCATGATGATCTCATGCCCTCATATGATGAGAAGGTTGACATTTGGAAGATTCCAGATGTCTCTAGTTTCCTTTTGGGTCATATTGAAGGGAGTGATATGGTTCGATTTCATTTGTTTGATATTCATAAGGCCTGTAAGAGCCACACTCCTGCAGAAAGACCCACTGCTCAGGATATTCTGGACACTTACAAGAAGGTTTTAAACTCACTCAGAGACACTATGATGTCTCAGACAAGAGAAATGCTATAAGACCTAGTGCAGTCATTGAAGGATGGTATTTAAGGACTGAATGGAAGTTACAGCAATTCTATTCTGATGATGGAGGTTTTTGATTGACTTGGTGTTTCACTGTGTTTTGCTGTTGGGCCATGTAGTTCTTTCTCTACATGTGCCTGACATTTGAGTGTGCTTTTCTGTCCTGGCAACCTGGATGGAAGTTGTTAAGAGCAAACCAGATATGATTTAAATCTAGCTTCACTTTTCTCTGGCTGCTTGCTTTCTGGTGAAGATACAGAGAAGCAGTGAATCTACCCAATATTTGATGGAAGTAATAAAAGTATAGCCATAAAGAAGCTTCACCTACCCTGATAGCCAAATTTATAAGCTTTTAATATATATTAAAATATATTTTTAAATATCAGTATATGAAAGAAACATACAGTAGTTCATCAAAGAACAATTTTTCCTCCTAAATAGAAAAAATGGCATTAAGGGCTCGGGTGTAGCCCAGTAGTAGATTACTTGCCTACTGTGTGTGAAGCCCTGGGTTCCATCCCCAGCACTTAAAAAAAAAAAAGGAAAAAACACAACTAAACCAAAAAATGCAAACAAAGGTGTTGAACATGCCATAGCTGTAGTGTGAAAGCACACTCGAGATTTTGAATGGGTAAGAGTATTTTGAACAGTGAGTTGAGGGAAGTTCTTAGTGATCTTGAGTGATGCTTTGAAATTCCTATTGAGTTGGGTTTTCTGTGTTCAAAATTGATTGTGAATATTTTACATCAATAAGTGCTACTCATTACTACAAAGTGGCAAGCCTTTTCCCTTGAATTGCATGATTGAATCCTTCAAAAAAAGTTATTTTCTGGAGCTGGATGTAGTGGTATACACCTGTAATCCTACCACTTGGGAGGCTGAGGAATAATATTTTGATTTTGAGACAAGCCTGGTCTATGTGGTGAGACCCTTGCTCTAAAAGCCAAAGCAACAACACTTTCCTGTGGCATTGTCATCATTTGTAGGGATAAGAAGTTTGGTGTATATTAATGATCACTAATAAGGTGGTTATATAACTGATGTTCAGAGACACACATGCTCCAAAGTGAACTCTGCCTTTCCTTGAATTTGTCTAGAATAAAAATCCATAGAAATAGGTTAGTGTTTGTGAAGAGCTGGTAGGGGGTTGGAGCTGAAGATTAGGAATTGACTGCTACTGAGATTTTGGGGTGGTGATAAAAACGTTCCGAAATTACATAGTGGTGATAGTTACACAGTTCTGTGAATATACTGATCATCATTGAATTGTGTAAATGAAAAATTTTGTGGTATGTGACTTATATCTCAATAAAGCTGTTATTAAAAAATTCTACCAGAAAGCTGTGTATTCCTTCTAACCCTCTCATGTGATGTGGCAGTGACTGTGTGAAGGTGATCTGGTAAAGACACCCTGTCTAGATTGTATTCTTGTTTAAGGATTTGCTTCACATTTGGACTTTGAACTAGAGCAAAACTATTAGGTCAGAGTAATTTGTTTTAAAATATTGACAACAAAGCTAAAACAGTTTGGTACAGGGGAAAGGACACTGCACTAGAATTAGAAGACCTAAGTTGTAATTCCAGTTCACAACTGATGGTGTGGTCTCAGACAAATCCACTGCCTAAAATGAGAAAATTGGTGGTAGTAATAACCAAGTTTTGCTTTGCCTTATTTTGTTTACTCTGATGCTTTAACATGCCAGACACCAAACAGGACCACTGCCTGTCAGACTTCAGTTTTTGTTTTTTTTTAGGATTGTATACTTTATTTTTTTTCGGTTGAAAAAAGTGAGACAAAGCAGACACATTTATGCAAGGGGATGTCTATGAGATAATTCAAACCCTTCACCCTCAGAAACAAACTGAGGATAGGGTTTAAAGGGAGAAGTTGTTTGGCTTTTCTGTTTATAATTGTTTTATTTGGAAACTTTCACTACATGGGGGGATTTGCAGTAACAATTCCAATCAGGCTTACACTGTACACTGTCCACATTGCCCCCATCATCTCTCCCCAGCCCCCTCCCCACCCCACCCAAAGCAATTGCAAGAGGTTATTCAACTCTGCCTCTTACAGGTATTTGAAGTCCAGCAACCATATACTGTCCCTTTAATCTCCTTCCTTCTTCAGTTTTCATTTTGTGCACAGACACAGTTCAGTACCACCAACTGCAAAAAGTACAAGAGAAAATCATATTTTATATAAAACCTAGATGAGGAATTCATTGTCCACATAGCTTGCTATCTCACATTTGGAGGTATCATCAGAAGAGACAGATGAAGTTAGCCATTTTTTAGTGCTACCAAACTCTCTTTCTACGTACCTTATTTCAGGTCTTAAAAAAAATCACCGCAAGGGAAGAAGGAAGAGCAAAAATGATGGAGGGGCTGAATCTAATTAAGATACATTGTAAGCACATTTAAATGGCACAATGAAATATCTTGTACAACTAATATATGCTAATTTTAAAAATCACTATATGATTTATAATGTACTTTCACATTTTCTTATGTGATGAGATTGTTAATCCTTCAGCACATATAGACCTGGTAGTTCTCAATATGGGCAATTGGAGTCCTATTAGAAAGACAGTACCTATGCCTATATCTCTCATCCAAGTACTAACCAGGCCCGACCCTGCTTAGCTTCCGAGATCACATGAGATCAGGTGTGTCCAGCGTGGTATGGCCTATATCTTAAAGGATTTTCCTCTAATATTTTCAAAGTTTCAGGTCCTACATTAAAATCTTTGATCCATTTTGAATTGAGAGATGGGGTCTTGTTTCAGTTTTATACATGAGGATATCCAGATTTCCTAACACTATTTTTGAAAAGATGTCTCTTAACCAACTCATATTTTTGGTGCCTTTATTGAAAAATCTGATGGCTACTTCTGTGTGGGCTTGTTTCTGGGTCTTATTTATTGAGACATACTTCACATAACATACAATTCACCCATTTAAAGTATATAATTAAAAGGTTTTTAGTATAGTCATAGATGTGTGCAGCCATCGACACAGTGATTTTTTTTCCTCAGTAGGTGCTAGGACCTCACACGTTAGGTAGGTGTGCTACCACTGAGCTACCTCTGACCCTCACAGTGAACTTTAGAACTTTTTTTTAAATACAGATTTCTATATTTTAAGTAAAGAAAATTATTAAAATGGAATCCACTATAGAACTTTTAGAAGTATTTTCTAGTACTTGTGACAAATTTGCAACTTGATATAGCTATTTATTTGTCAGGGTAGAAGTAAATTCCATTCTCCTCACTAATTGGTGGAATGAAAAAGTTGCCTTGGACTGGCAAACTGGCTCAAGTAGAAGACCATCTGCCTAGCAAGCATTAGTCCCTGAGTTCAAACTCCTGTACCACAAAAAAAAAAAAAAAAAAAAGAAAGGAGCTATCAAAAGTTGCTTGTGTTGCTTGTATAGTGACATTTTGGATGTAGGGAAAATCAACAAACTTTCAGTAGAGGAAACCTTTTACTTGATAAAAATATTACATTTCTCTAGACTTGTTATAAAGTGTTTCAGAGATCTTGAACAGAAGTTTGTGGTTGTCAAAAGCTAACTGTACTTCGAGGCTTAGATTGATAAAAATGATCTTTCAGCCCTTGGTATCTGATTCTACATGTAACGTACGTTAATGTTTTTTATGTTTTTCTTACTTAGTGTTCTGCAATTTTTCTGATGGTGTTTTTGTTTTGTTACTTTTTCTCTCCAGTAGAATGCTGAGAATTAGGAGGTGAATTTTTGTTTTTTGAGTGCCCTTCCATGTCACCTAGTGAAACACACACCTGATAAATTCTTGGTTTTAAATTAATGCTAAACTTCTCTGGACTTTAGGCACCATAGGCAAGTGTTAGTGGAATGGCTAAAGGATCCATCTCAAGAGCTTGAGTTTATTGCTGATATTCTTAATCAGGATGCAAAGCATTGCCATGCCTGGCAGCATCGACAGTGGGTCATTCAGATATTGCCTTTGTTGTTACAGTGCTTTTCAGATTTTTACTTTTTAATGGAATTAAATAATTAAAATTACTTTTAAACTCTAGATACACTTGTGAACCAGAACACACATGTGTTATCTTCCTTTATTTTTACCATCACTTGTAAAATCAGAGACTGTCATGGTGAAATTCTTATTCTTTTGTTATTATCAAATAAGAAATGAAGCTCCATTAACTTTTTTCATAATGTTTCAACTTTTGTAGCATCTTTGCAACTTTCGGTCATCTTTAATGCTTTCTTTTTAAAAACTATTTACTGGAGTAAAGTATTACATGTCAGCTCTCCCATTCATTCTTCATCAGCCCCTGCACTTGCACGTTCCATGTGTGAAAATGAACAGTCCAGTCCAGGGAAGAAAATAGAATGCATTTTTCTGAGAGTAACAAGAATCATTTTTCTCTTCCTCCTACTACTTCATTTGAACACAATACAGGACACAATATAATAGAATCCTAATGTTTTGAGCCATGGTAATAAAAATGTTTTAGTTGACTCTAAATGAAATAGTTGCTGCTGAGAAGAAGAAATAAAAGGAATACAAATAAGTAAAGAAATAATCAAACTATCCCTATTTGCAGACAACATGATCCTTTACCTCAAAGGCCCAAAAAACTATCAAAAAACTCCTAGACACCATAAACAGCTTTTGTGTAGCAGGATGCAAAATCAACTTACAGAAATCAATAGCCTTTTTAAACACCAACAATGAACAAATTGAGAATATAAGAAAACAATTTCATTTACAATAGCCTCAAAAAAAAATACCTAGGAATAAACTTACCAGAGGATGTAAATGACCTCTACAAGGAGAACTACAAACCACTGAAGAAAGAGATTGAGAAAGACTACAGAAGATGAAAAGATCTCCCATGCTCATGGATTGGCAGAATCAACATAGTAAAAATAGCTATACTACCAAAAGCAATCTATGTGTTCAATGCAATTCCCATAAAAATCCTAATGACATTCATCACAGTGGTTGAAAAATCTATCCAAAATTCATTTGGAAACACAAAAGACAAATAGCCAAGGCAATACTGACCAAAAAGAGCAATGCTGGAGGTATCACAAAACCTCACTTCAAACTATACTACAGAGTCATAGCAATAAAAACAATATGGTACTGGCACAAAAACATATGAAGATGAGTGGAACAGAATAGATGACCTGGATATGAATCCATGCAGCTATGCCCACCTTATTTTTGACAAAGTCACCAAAAAACATATGATGGAGAAAAGACAGCCTCTTCAATAAATGTTGCTGGTAAAGTGGTTATCTGCCTGCAGAAAACTGAAACTAGATCCATGTCTATCACCCTGT